AAAATGCAAACCTGTTGCAGTCTGCACCCTCATAGAGGGCACAGGCTTGGAGCAAATTGGAAGCACCTGCTGCTGGCTTGCAGCTTCCAGTGTTGATGTCGTGGAAGACCTCTCCACAGGTCCCACTGAAGTATTATTCGTTTATGCTAGTTAGTCTTATTTTTGCATTGATGTGGGGTAAGCATTAGGTTTATTAACTGAGTCTAAAGTATCGGTAGCAACCTTAAAATGTTTGATTAAATCCTTAAGGTTCCAGAAAGGACAACCTCTAAATTTTACAGCAGGGATCAGCCTGGCCATCAGAGATGCCTTTCAAGGTAAGCTCTTAAGTGTTTTATGCTTATACTAATGCTGATTTATTGTCAATAGGAAAACTAAAGCCAATTTATTAAAAACAAAACCATAACCTCAGTAACACCAAACCGACATGGGTTCATTTTGTCTTTTGAGTCAGTTTGTCCACAAAAATAGCTACCCAAACTTCCTGATCTTAAACCCGAGGGAAGTGTCTAAGCCAGTTTCCTTTTAATGACTGACATAACTGATTTAAAGAGAAACAAGCCTCCTGAAGAGCTACTCCTCCTTTTCATGCAAGTTAGTTCTGTCTTCTGCTGGAAAGCAGAATTTTTGATATATAAGACCTATTCCATCTGTAATAATTCCTGCAATGAGGTGTTTCATTTGGTTCCACCTGCCTGGTGTGCCCGAGCAGGTTGCACGCAAGTTGTGCGTCTGTTTCCCAGTTAACGGGCAGCATGTTGTGCAGTCATTTAACTTGTGATCTGGTGATGCTTTACGTGCCCTTGACATGAGAGTAAGGGGCTGCCGAAGGTGTGGGTTACTTGAGGTCCAAGCCTGTTGGCACTGACGATGGCAGGTGGGAGTGGTGCCAGTCAGGGCTGCCTGGATGCTCTTGCAGATGCTCTACATCGGTGCTGTTGATTTCAAAGGGGAGTTAGTTGCCTGGATACTTTGGCAAGTGGGGATCTGGCCCCAACTCACTGTATAGGCACCTGTGAAGCTTGTGCCTGTAGCTTTGTTTTGGTAGTAGCTCGAATGGGCGAATATGCTGTCTGTAGATATATCTTGACTGTTTTGGCAGTCTGCCATTAAGGCTAGTGTATTTTATTTTTTTTTTTGTATCGCAGGAGAAAAGACCAAGGATGCAGAGGGCTCAATGATAAAGGGTAGCCCCCACAGGATGTCTAATCAGGGAACATAATGCTGCGAGTAACTTGGGTTGGAGAGATTTGAAAGGGAAGTAGATTTAGCTGACATAACTAAATGTGCAGCATTTCTGATGAACCAGAGTCAGAAAAATCATCTGAAATAACTTTCAAGTAAAGTCAAGCCCTAAATGCTTTCTACTTAGGAATTATAGGAGGCAAAGCAGAAAAGAAACGTGTAAGTAAACCACAGTGTTACTAGTGAGTGGCTTCTGAGCCTGGGTTTCTGGGTGAGCACTGCTTTACTTCACACGCTTGGCAGCTGGTTTTACTATCCCATGTGTTCCTTTCCCTGTTGATAAGTGGATGATGATGTATCTTCTAGGAAGGTACTGGAGCAGGTTTCATTATTTGTAAAAGCTGTGAGATTTTGGAATCAGGAGTGACACAGATCTGAAGAGGCCAAGGGAGAAGTACATATAGTAGGATATTTTGTAATGACTTGGGAATCTCTGTAATCTCCCAGAATGACTGCCCAGAGGAAACCGCCTGCTCCATCATCTTCTCTCACTACTGGGTGGCCCTTCTTGGACCAGCAATTAATATAAAATTTTTGTTTATCAGGAGTATTATATCATACAGTAACAGCAGGGAACTTGATTCAGTGGTTCCAGTCTGTGTTCCTGCATGCAAGATAATCTGATCTGCTTTTTGTCTTTCTGTTTAGTAACACTCATCAGTCATCCCCTGGGGCACATGCTCTGAAGCTAAACAGCAGCAGCACTCCTGGCAACAAGCAGTGGGAGATGGGATCCCATCAGAGCAGCTGGTCAACCTCAGGTGATTCCTATGTCAAAGATTCATCAGTCAAAATGTGCAAAATTCCTATCGTGTGAAATGAGTTTCTGCAGGGTGTCAAGTGTTGTATTGCAAACGGGATTTTTTTTCAACAATGCCTTCTGGTGATAGGCTTTTGAAAAAACTCTGGATTTTATGGCTCCATGTTCCTGAAATATAAACACTTCCTCTTTTGGATCAAAAAGTGACTGTGAACATATTTCCATGTAGAAAATTTGAAGTGCCTCAATTAAGAATTGAAAAAAATCAGTTCTCTTGCACTCACTGACACCACTGAAACTCAGCGGAGCCAACGTTGCAGATGTCCAGGTGTAATTCAATACTCGTGTTCACCCGTTGACATTTTCTGCATAACTGTATGCTGCTTTTTTGCATTGCCCACTGATAAGGTGGTCCAGGTGAGCAGTTGCTGTACGCCACTCTAATAACTTACTGGGTGAAGAAAGCATAAGACTCTCCTACAGCACCTTATGAAACATTCCTCCAATATTCTTTTATTTGCAGAACGGTAGTGAAACTGAAAAAAAAAAAAGGCAAAACAAGTTAAAAGGTAGAGATATCCTCATCCAATTTAAGGAAAGCGCAACTTTGTAAATTATTTGGGTATCACTGGCAGCAGTGTAGGAAGCAGTGGGCTTGCTCATGGTTGTGCAGATGTTTTGCAGTACAGACTCTGGTTCCTGAGACGTGACCTGAGATTCTTGCAGATGGGGACACGGAGCAGAAGTGGACAGTTTTGTTCCTCTATAGTTATTCCTAAGGTCTTGAATAGGTTGACCCCTATTCTGTGGGTCAACTGTAGAGCGTTTTCTCTGTAGCTCCTTGCAAAGCAGTGGTGTGTTACACCACTTTGCATCCAGGTTCACTACTCAGGATGGTGGAACCACGCCCAATTCGAAGCAGGGTGGATGCTAAACATGTTCTGAAACCACACCAGTGAGCTGCTGAAGTCATTTATTTTTAAACTGAGGCTTGCATTGTTAATTTGCAAGCCCTTGATAAATGAGGAACAAATAGCTTATTTATTACATTTAAAACAGTCAAGTCAGTTTTGCTTTCACTAACTACACAGACTAGGAAGCTCTGCTTCAAGCAAATCCAAAGCACACTTTAAACTGCTTGGGTTTTGTTTCTTTTTGCTCTTATGTCATTTTATGTTTGAATAACAGTGTAGAGATGAACAACATGCAACAGCTCAGCTTTGCAACGTCTGCATGATGTGTAACTCCTGTGCTATTTTGGCATGGGGAAATGAAAACCTCACCAGCAATGGAAAGAATAGAAAACCTCCCTTGTGGTTTAAACTGTCTCCGTGAGTTCTTAAGTGTCATTAAATTACAGCTAGTTCTGGCATATGGTGTTCCAGAAAGAGTTTGTTGCTTTCTCAAACCCACAGGGATAATGAATTGGGCAGGAAAGGGCTATAAATACTTTAAAGCTAATACTTCTGCTGAGTTGCTTAGGTACTCATTGACCAATAAAGAATTCTGAATTTTAAAAGCTTTGCAAAATGCATGAATACATGAAGCCATTGTGACAAAACTATCTAAATTGCCAAATACAAATCCTAATTTGTGTGAGCTTGAATTCTCCTCCCTTAACTTGCAAAGAGTGCTGTTGGTAGCAGTGAGACAGTCATGGGAGAAATTGCTGAATGAAGTAGACGTTGATCTGGCCAGTGTGTCTCAGTGGCAGGGTGAGGGCACATCTGCTTTCCCTCCCTTCGCTTGTATCGGGAATTGTTTGCAGAAGACAGCGTCTCTCCAAGGCTGCTTTTGCTCTTCCCAGGTAGCTTCGTGGGCAGTGGGGGCACTGAAATGGAAGATTAGCTTAATGACTTGCAAACATCCCTCCTAACTTGGTGCCAGCACATAGAGATGGACTCCAGCTCCTCTAGTCTTGTTTGCGTGGGTATTCAGTAGCTGTGCAAGCAGGGTGGTAAGTGTGGGTCCCCAGGCCACCTGCCACCCATACCTGACCTTGCGCAGAGTGTCATGAGGTGCCACGTGGTGCTGAGTTGGCCTGTGGCGAGGGCCAGCTCTCTCTGCAAAAACCTGTTTCCCCATGGCACAGTGGAAGTGGGAGCTGAGAAGTGACACTCTGCGTGCCCCACGGGAAGCAAGGACTGGAAAATGAACAGTTCTGCCTGTGCTGCCATGGGAAGCGGTGAACGCTCTTCTGCTTTTAGCCTGACCCCATGCTCGTGAGTGGAGTTTAGTGCAGCTGTTTTCCCCCAGCCTGTTTGGGTTTGGAGAATCAGAGACTTTAGGCTGGTTTTGTGCAACAGTTTTATGAAGGCCAAATCTTGGCATCACGTCTGTTTGCTTGTGAAAGTGTGCATCAGGGCGCAGCTCCATGTACCCTCTGCTTGACCCCCCTCTGCAGTCACAGGAGTATAGCTGGGTGGCACCTTCAGTGCTGGAATATACCCACCAGTTGCTGATACAATGAGCTGTCTCCTCAAAGAAGAGGATCAGAGGAAGGGATTAGTTTGCCCTCACCCTTTTCCCTTGCAAGCTACCTTCCAGTCCGTGGAACTGTTGCTGGTGTGCAATGGGAGTATGTTGCCAAGGTTTTGGTCTGCTTGTCTTACTCTTACAGCATTAAACTGCACCAGTATTGATTTTATATACATAATGTTGTGGCATCCAGAGCCACGGGGAAGCAAGCAAAAAGATTTCCTTTAGCAACAAAGAGTAGAAAGAACTTTGTCAGCAAAGGCTGGTGTTTGCTTTGGGGGGTAACTGTATGTGCTTGTCTTACTGGTCCCCTTTCTCACTCTGCTGCATATGCATTTTCAAAAAAAAACTTTCTTCCCCCCCCAGGGAATCCAGGAGCAGCCAAGGCAGAGAACGCTTTGTCCCAGAACCACTTGCAGCTGCATAAGAAGTCTGAAAAAGTTTCTAATCCAGGCCAGATTGCAGTAGGTTCTTTTAAATACGCTGATATTTTTGATTTGTTCGTGGTTTTCACTGCGGGCTGTCTATGCAGGCAGCTCCTCTGTAGGTGCTTGAGTTTGCCAGCTGATGGGTCCGTCGAGAGGCCGCTGGGGCTGGCTGGAGGTTACGGCTGCCTTAGTGTGTCTCATCACATTCGGTCAGGGTCTGACTTGTGTCCAGCTCAGGTCGTCGGCAGAGAGTTCAGTCTTCCTTAACCTGCCTGATGGTAAATCTTTAGGAAAGAAGGGTATGTCTGTAATATTTCGGGAATTCATTGATCACTTGTCATGCAACTCAGAAGTCAAGACCATGCCTGTGGCTTGTGCCAATATCCAGGGTGTAACCGCCTGGAATATGCGCTACCAGGCTGTGACACCCTCAAGACTGTCCTGGCTCTCTGTTCACTGATGTGCCAGGATGGAAAGGTTGATTGCTACTTCTCTGTTTACTGAGGCATTTCTTTTCTTGGGTGGTGTTTGGGGTGGGGGAATAACCACTTGTGGTGGACCAGCAAAAGTGTCAACTTCTTAATAAAGCTTTTTTTGGTGTAGAAGTGACAATAGCTATATTTATTGGGACAGTAAAACACTGCATGTGCTGTTTAGTGAAAAAATCAACTGAATTTCCTTTACTCAGAGTCCAGGCTCCTTTACCAAGGGGAAGGACGGTGCCAACGCATTCTTAAAAGCAGCAGACTACTCCTCATCAAGTGACGAAGTCAGCAGCAGCGATGAAGATGATGTGAACCACGCCAGGTTGGCTTGATGTTTTTTTAATTATTATTATTTTATTCCTTTTTATTACACACTTCTAAATATCTGGAAAAAGTTGGCATACATAAATGCTACCTCCCCTCTGACGTTGCTATCAGTCATGTATGTCAGTTGTAATTAAGCAGTTTAATTGCACTATAATGAACTCCCAGGGGTAAATGTTTGTTCCATCAGATCTATGTAGTGTAATGAGCTTTGATGACTTGCTGCCCTGGGACAATGAGGAAATGTCTCATTTTAAGTGAGTATCAATAGGTTGTGTTTTTATAGAGATTACTTCACGTTGATCTACGTTCAAATTGAATTTTTGAAAGAAAAAAGGAGAGGGAACTGAAACTGCACACCTTCATGCTACATACAGGTTACAGTGAAAAAAGCAAAGCAAACATGACCCTTGTATTCAGATAGTCTGTTTGCTCCGGGAAAAATAATTACCACTGAAAAGCTAAATCCTTCACCAGGACTGTTTATAAAGAAAGGATAGTGTAGGCAAGATTTGTTTTTGTAAAATTTGCTGTATTTTTAATATTGTTGTTTTGCACAATTGCTGTGGTTGCCAGATGATGCTGTGGCTTGTACCAAGCTGATCTCACCTGAAGTGTTTCTCTCTAGCTTTCCAGTTTCTCCTTGTTGATTTTTGTGACTGGTATCTTGTGGTGTTCTACCTGTCATGCAAAATGTGTATTCTGCTGAGAAATCACGAAGTATGAATGGCTTTCTAGTCCAAGTGAAAGAGAGTCGGGCGGGTCAGTTGGTCAGCCCTGCTGTTTGGAACAGCAAATGGAATTTTTTTTTTATATTGATGAATGAAACTGGTAATTTTCTTGCAAAGAGACTTCAGTTTAATTCAAGTTCTAGGATTTACTTCGAAGTGCATCACAGGGTTACAGAGCTCTCTGGGATGGGGTTCTTGCTTTTCTGACATAATTGCACGTGCAGATTTGTCAGTCTTCAGGAAGAGATGCACAGATTTGTAGCACTGTTGGCAAGCTATTGTGTTGGCCTGATACCAGTCCTTTCCCCTGTGCTGTTCAGAAGAAGGTGGAGTTTTTGCACCTGCATATGCTCCTGATTTACATTTCTGAAGTTCATTTTCAAAGCTGCAGGATACGGAAAGAGAATATTAAAAATCTTGTTGCTTATTCAGTACACCTGAAAGAGCTGTCTTTTTACTGTAGTGCCTTTATTTTCTTACTGCTCCTCTTCCAACCCACCTTACTGTCATCTGTAAAAAGTTTTATTCACTCTAGGTTATAGAAGTCATCCTAGACCTCAGAAAGACTCTACATAAAAATATGGGTTTGCCCTGTAGCAATGACTTTGCTGTGTAAGTGTTAGATTGCTGTGATCCTTGCATGCTGTCATGATTTGAAGGAGTGGTATCACTGCCTTTGGAAATCTGCACGTGTTATTTGCATCTCTTCTGTGTTTGGGATCCACCAGTACTCTAGAGAAGTGGAATCAGCAGGATCAGCCTTCCTGTGCACACAGCCACTGCAAGAACTGCTGTAAAATCAAAAGTACCATCTTGTCTATTAACAAAGTCCCTTCGCCTTGGCTGAACGTCATTTATATTGAAAGATAGGCACTTTGGGAAATATATACTGATTGCTAACAAGTAAATAGCAAAAAGGATAGTGATCAAAGTGAAAGCAGCAGCCAGCATTGAAACTTTACATATTCTGCATAAAGTGAAGGTTTTTGTTTGTCTTGATATCTAAAGCATGTGAAGTCTGTAGAAGTTTTTCTGTGTGGGCTTTGGCTGAGACACCTTGGGCCAAGTCTTAGCTGGCTATCGAAAACAATCTCTGTTTTCTTGTTCTTGCCTGGGCTGTGGAACAGCTTTTGATGTCCATGCTCCAGCTTTCATGGAGGTGTCCAACAGGACTAGACTTGGGACACGCACGTATGCAAGAGAAAGAGCTTCACATTCCCTTGGACAAATCCTGTTGACTACCCTGAGAAGGCTCCATTTCTGACGAAGCCAGGTCTAAGGGCAGCTGTCTTTGAGCAGTAAAACAACTTTTCTTCTTTTTTTTTTTCTTTTCAGTGAGATGAGCCAGAATTCTTCCTCACACGCACCAGGTTTTTGTTTTAAGGAAACGATGTCGGTATATGTGATCCAGCCTCTTCCCTGCTTGTATAGCATATCTATTCCATTGATGCTAACTTCTCCTGCTCTGCTGAGAGTTCTGCCTCCTCCTATGCCAGCAGCATTCACAATCCCCCTAAAGCACTGAGTTTCCTGGGACTCGTTTTGTATAGTTCAGTTTCCTCTCTCTGCTCTTTATATGCTGTTCCCTGCCAAAATTTGAACAAGGTGAGTGCAGGTGTGTGCTTGGCTAGGAATTACTTTCTCCTTGTGATAAGTGGGAGATTGACATCACTTAAGGTCAGCTGCTGCTTGCTTTCTTGATAAGAACAGGACTTGCACTCTCCATTGATCCTACTTCATATCTTGCCATTCCTTGTTAGTTTACTATGCAAATATTTACCCTTTCCATAGAAGAGGAGGGCGGACCCAAAACCAAAAAGGAAATTAAAAAAAAAAAAGCCACAAAAACTTCTACTCTTTCACAAACCATCTGAAGTTGGTAGCTCTCTCGCCAAATGCACAGGAATGGGGCCAGAGCCTTGCTGACAGAAGCTTGAGGCAGTTCCACTTGGGTGGAGAAGTTTAAAATGCAAAGATACCACTGGTTGTCTAGGAAGCAGTTGTATGCTGGGATGTATCAGAATGGATGCTTGTGTTGTTCTTACTCTTTCTTTAGGAATCTGCTTTTGGTCACTGCTGAAGACAGGATCCTGGGCTAGCTGGGCTTTTGGCCCCAGCCAGTCCAGCAGCTCTTACTTTCTTTTGTCTCTGTGTGCACTGGCCAGTATTTTCTTCGTTTCTTTGTACGTAAGGTGAGGATATCCACGGTTCAGGGACTGATTCACAGGATGAAATTCCAGTGTAGCCTGTCCCAGTAGGCACTGGCGGAGAGGTCCCAGATGCCAGCATATAGCAGAGCAGCGGTTCTCCCTCTTGCAAGTGCAGCTGATGCTCTGTCTCTGGAGAGCAGAGTGGCTCATCGTTGCACCACGCAGGGTAGTGTACGAGGGGAGACAGAAGTAGTTTTGAAGCAGGCGCTTCTCGAATGACGGCTTGAAAGACCAGCTCTCGCTTGCCTGAGCTGTTCAGTGTCTGAAAACCAATGGATGAAGTGCAGGGAGATGAAAGGATGCTCTCTTGTCAAGGTGGGGAGAGCTTCCTGCTGTGTGTGAGTGGTCCTCAGGCTCAAGTCCGTTCAGGCACATCCACAGACTAATCAGCTTGCTTTTGTTGAAGAACCTTTAAGTGTAACTAGCAAATGTTAATTATACTCACTTTTGAACACGTATATGTGGAGTTTTTAGCTTTTTGGTTTTTGGGCTCTTTTTTTTCCCTGAAGTAGTTCTGTTCATTAATTGGAGTTTGTTACCAGGCAACTGCTAAGCAGCAGAGTGGCAGATTTCTCAAGGACGAGAGTACCAGATGGAATTGAACTGAAACCTCAAAGCACCATCGCAGAACAGAAGGTAATTTGGCCATTTGTAAGGGGGTGGGTACAGTGGAGGGGAGTCAGATCATTAATGTGCATGATAAACCTTGTATCCATTTCTTCTCAGCAGCGTTTTCACTCTGAAGTCCTGCTCTGTCATTGCAAATTATAGCTATAAGCCTTGGAAAAAATGTGCAGTTTCAGGTTTTGTGCTTCCTACAAAAATGCTTGCGTTTAGGTACAAAATTGCACTTCTTTATTTGTCCTTGTTATTGACCTGGTACTGATTTCTGATGTCAACCTGTCTCTTGAAGGCATTGGGCATGTTGCAAAAAGCAATACTGTTGATTATTGTTGGTGTGCGTTGTTCTTGTTTTTAAAAATCTTGACCTTTTTTATCAAATTTAAAGAGAACTACCTGTTTCTACTTAAGATATTACCAGAAGAGGGGAAAACCACTTCATCTCTCCCTACTGGCTTAGCAAAAATAAATGTCTTCTCATATGTCATGTTGTGGTTCCTTCCCAGCTGTAGTTCCTAGTAGAGACTTCAAGTCGTGGATTTTCCCCTTTGATAAATACTAGTGCAGAAAAGATGAAGTCAGACAAAGTAGAACAATGTTCTTTGTGGTTAAAACCAAAAAAAAATTACAGTAATAAGACTTGCACTCAGCGTCAGAGCACTTCTCACATATTACTGAGTGTATTCTTGTTTCACAGATAGGGAAAATAAATTACAGTGAAACTGGTGTTTTTCCTAGAGCTGTTTGAGTAAGCCATGGTGGGGCTAGGAAAATAAAAGTAGTTTTCTTTACCTCTGGTGTGATTTCTAAGCTTCATACCAGAGTAGCATCCTTCCTGACTGGGGAAGGAGTCCCACTTTGCCTTCGTCTCACCATCCTCATGGAGGAAAAACCCTGCTTTGGAGAAGGAATTATAAACAGGGCAAACACAATATTTTTCTTGTAGCAAAACCAGCCCAGTCCCTTTCCCCTGACAGCCGGGCATTGGAAATAGGCTGCTTGAGGGAAAGGAGAAGGATATGATGTCTTTGAGGCCCAAACTAGGATGATGGAGGAGGGAAAAGAGTGGAGGTGACATTTTTCTGGAGAGGACAACATGGGAGGGAGAACAGACAGATGACTGCCACCTTTCCTCACAAACCTCTCTGATGCCTTCCAGCCTTCTCCCTCCTTTTCATGGAGAATCCTATCCATTCCTCCCACCTCTATTTCACCAGCCACAGCCATCATGAGTCTCCACGACTTCTTCCAACATCCCTTTACCTGGCCCATCAGCGTGAACTGTTTCAAGGGGTTAGGGTGCCCCAAACTACCCGAATGATTCAAATGGGAGTTTCGTTCAGTTCACCTGAATCTGACTCAAAACTGAACCAAAAAAAAGCCCCATACTGGCTTGATTCCCTGATCTCAAATACTGACTTGTATGTTTTGGTTTGATTCAGGGTTTTATATCTAAATTAAAATGTAAAATACTTAGACTATCAATTTGGTTTCTAGTTAATTACTTGGCTTTTGAAAGGCAAATGTCTTTCATTTAGCATTATCTACTTTTTTTTTCCATATTTTGGCCAGCATTCAGAAAAGCTGTTCTGATTTCAGTAGGTTGTTTATCAAATGATACAGACAATGTTTATCAAATGTACAGACATGCTTGAATTCAGCCACCCAGAAGCTGCTTGAGCTGGGTGGTGCTTTTTGCTTCAGTGTAATTCAGGAAGAATTTTCTACTGTAGCACTTGGCTTCTGGCACTCTCTATGTTCCAGTGCCGATGATGTTCAGGTACTTTGATCATGGCCAGGGGTAGATCCCTCTGCACTGCCCTCCCCATCTGGGACAGCGCTTGCTTTACCCGTCCCATCTTCCTCTCAAAGCTTCTAGTCGTGTATTCCCAGAAACCAACCTCTGACCCTGTATTTGGTGCTTTGAGGGAGAGAGCTTGTGTGGTGCCTCGCACCTTACATAGTTTACAAGTATTTCCCTGAAGCTGGTGGGATCCTGTAAACAGGTCTGCAGTACCAAACGTCATTGTACTGGAAATGCTGATACTGGATCCTACTGAATGTCATCATTCTAGAATAAGGTTTCCTAATTCAGCAAATAGAAAGTAGCAATGAAACGAATGGTAAGGGGCTTTGAACTAAATGCAGGTCCAGAACTGAAAAGTACCTACTTCTGATTGTGGTGGGTAGAGGTCAGGTCTGTAACGTTAGGACAAGTCACTTGATTCTGTCCTAAGAGTCTCTGAGGATGAGGTTGCTTCTTCACCTGTGGTTGAGGTAACGTAGGTGAGGAACATTCATGGAGCACTTCAGGAGTGGAAGTCAGTGGTGATGCCTCCAGTGTTTACCACACACTTCTGTATTGAATTTTTTATTTTAATCTTTCCATAGGGTTTGTCTTTACGTGATGCGTCACGCGGAGCACCCCTCCCTATATGCTCATTATTTATTGTCCTAATTAACAGGAGTTGCACAGGGCATTGGCAGCATGCTAAATGTGATGTTTAACTGTATGTTCTCGTGTGCAGGATCAGATTTTAGGGAAACAAATTTCTAGCACCCAAGAAGGCCTCTGGAGCGTAAACAACCAGAACTATCTCCTGCCAGATCTCCTCCAGCAAAGCCAAATTTCAGACTCCTCTGTGAACTCACCAAAAGTGCCACTGACTAGCCAGGAACCTCAGAACAAACCTCTGAATAAGGTAAGAGATAAATTACAGATTGAATGAATTGTACCATCATTTTCGTCCAGCCATTAGGAGCCTGAGATTGAGAGCCTTTTAACTTCATCTGTCCTGTCTCTTTTTGTGATGAGGTTTTTCACCACATTTCTTTTCTTTAAAAGTTTTATCTAGAGGACGGATAAGAAATCTTGAACTCCTTAATAGATTTTTATTGTTCCACTTGTTTTCTCCCCATCTCTCTCTCTGCTCCCTTTTCTTTCCTTCCTATTTTTCTTCCCTTTTACGCAAGCTAGAAGGGGTTGTACCCTCTGCTCATTTACCTGTCATGTCAGCAATGCAGCACTCTCATCTGCCTCTGCTCATTGTCGCTGACTTTCTTCCATCCAAGTGTCAGGTGGGAGCACAGGGGGCCAGGGCAGCATGTCTTGGAAGCCCCAAAGGGACACGGCGGTGAGCACAGGGGTCTCCTGGAGAGAAGTGTGTCATGGAGGCAGAGAACAGCTCTGTCAGGGGTCATGTCCTAAACTGCCTTACAGGAGGCAATAGTGTCCTCCTTGCTGCAAAGAGATTTGAGCCACGTCCTGTTGCAGACGAGACAGCGGGGAGGGATCAACATACTCTTCTTCTGGGGACGGGTTATATCAGCACAGTGCCTGGCTAAGCATCCCGACACAGCTCCCTGCTCAGGCCTCCTCTTCTGTTAATGAATTTGTACCATGTGTCTACTGCTTTAAGACTGTTCATCATGTCTAAGTATGCCACATGCCATTTCTTCTGAACCTCAGAGGCACCGTGTTGCTGTGTGCTCTCTGCTCCCCTAGCATCATCTTCCTGAAGCAGCTTTTGTTTTCCATTGTAGACCCCATGCACTGAAAGCACACCTTCAAAGAGCAGTACATCGTCTACTACATCATTTACTTCATTCATAGATCCTAGACTTCTGCCAATCACCCCTCCCACCAGTCCAGTAGGACCTTCCTGTAGTTCCTGTGAGTATGCTTTACCCTTCTCATAAAATGTCACTCCTGGTTTCTTTCTTTCTTTTTTTTTTTTTTTTCTGGAATGGGGAGAGTCCATTGCTTGGAAATGGAAAATGTCAGTAACATCTCCAGAAACTGAAATTCCACATTGCTATGAATTTTCATTGTACTACTTCTGCCCTTCCAGATGTGGCTCGATCTACTCTGCTGCTGTGTTACCACAGTGCTTACTCAGGAATTTTTTTTGGAATGCCTGAGGAGTTTTCCAGATGTATGGGTTGTTTTTTTTCTCTGGCTACACAATGCTCCCGAGGTGTTTTCTTACCCTTCTGGGGTTTCTTTCACTCTGCCATACACAGGTCAAATGTGAGATGTAGCCAAACACTTGCATTTTTCATGACTGCATGTGTCTTTCATTCTAGCATCTAGCGCAAAACCTGAGCCCACCAGGAGAGAAAATGCAAGGAAGGGCTCAGTTGTCAACGTCAACCCAACGAATATCCGCCCACAGAGTGACAGTCCAGAAATTCGTAAATACAAGAAGAAATTCAACTCAGAGGTCCTTTGTGCTGCTTTGTGGGGTAAGCTCAGGAGCACTTGGGCGTGTGTGTGGAGGGAAGGCAGCAGCAGGAGAGGCTGGCAGGATATGCCAGGCAGATTTCACAGCTGTGTGGCACCTTTCCTGTCAGAAAGTCCTGGAGCAGATTACGGGGTAGATACCTGCATCATTCGCATGGCACTGCCTTCCTGGTAGAGGATGGCAAACAGGTGACTTACATTTGCAAAGGATTTTGTGCATCAGAATGAGAAAACGTTTTGATCGGGCACCAAATTGAAACCGTACTCGTTGGAAGAGCCAAGTGTTGCAAATGTTCTAGTAACTTATGCAGCTCATGATACTTACGCTTACCTCAGCTGTATCACACTAAGCCCTGACCTAGTGGAAATAATCCAAACCTGATGCCTTTTGCTGTCATGTGCGTTAGGTATTCCAAGAATCTGAAGCAGGTCAGGCGTCAGGTTTTCCAAAAGCTTGGCTTCCTTATTTCCTGCTGTCAGTGCTTAGTCAGAACCTTGCTGGATCACCCTTTTTACAGGGTCAGCTTCACATGATGTAAAACTAAGGTGAGTATAGTCAGACTAGTTTTCAACATCTGTAGACCTTGTCCCAGTCTCACGCTAGCTAAGCTCTTGAGTTGTTTTAACCATCTTTCTACTTCAGAAGAACAAACATGTTCTGTGGGTCTCACCCAGCCTTTTACTCCTCCTTGCTTTTTGAATCTGGGATGGAAAATGAGTGAAGTAGATGAAACATTATCCAAAGGAAATGTAGATTTCAAGTTTACAGCTTTACAGATTTTGTGTAATATATGTTTGTAGGAGTCCAGAATTTTAAATTAAGAACAGAGCTGTGGGGCAAGGTCTGTAATTAAACGTGCATTGAGGCTGAAGGGCAGCAGGTACTCATCAGAGCATTGCCAGTAGAGGAGGTTGCTTGTTATAGCAGGATACCTCGTGTTGTTTCTTTACAACCTGCTGATTAGGAAACGTAGCTATCGTGCCAGCCAAATGCAATTTTTGACATCCTCTGATGTCAGCAACCCACTGGAGCCTTAGGTTCCTTGGGAGCAGTTGGATTTCAGATGGATTCACTCCCTTAATTTGGCAATTGAAAGCGTTCTTGCAAAACACAGACCGTTTTCAAATGAACACTCCACTTCCTCGTAATAGCAGCCCTTCTGCCCCCAAGTTTGGTCCTCCTGTGATTTGAGTATTGTGTTTGGGGAAAGGGGGAATTTTTTTTTTTTTTAATTGGTAGAGACCCTTAGATCATCTAGTTGAATCTCTTATGTTGCCAGTGGAGTGGTGCTGGACTGGGACTTTTGCAGTGCTCACAGGCACTTCCCAAGGTCACCTGAGAAGTTCAAGTTCGCCAAGCATTTTCCTTTTTGTTTAAATCAACATTGACTTCAGCGGAAGTACTCATCCTTTAAATTACATGAGCATGTAAGTGTTCTGCTGCGTAAAAACTATAATGACGAGATCCTTTTTTTACCTATTCGTTTTTTTCTGGGAGGTCATCCACGGGGCAACAGAGAAATTATCAGGTACCATTAATTGCGACTAAATGAGAATCTGCTCTCAAAACAATGAACACTCTGAATCATTAGGTGATTTATGCAGTATTTTTTTCCATGTATCAGGAGTAAATTTACTGGTGGGAACAGAGAATGGATTGTGGCTCTTGGACAGAAGTGGACAAGGAAGAGTTTATTCGCTGATTACAAGGAGACGATTCCAGCAAATGGATGTTCTGGAAGGACTCAATGTGCTAATTACTATATCAGGTTAGTTCAGTGTCTAAAAGTATCTGACCTGCATTGAGGTTGGAAGCAATTAAAAAGAAGAATTAGGTTATAAACTAGGTTGAAGAATTTCCTCTTACAGAAAATCACAGGACAGTTATTCTTGTTAATCGGAAAGCTCTCTTGAATTCTCAACATTTACGTTCTCATTTCAGAGAGGCTTTGGGATATTTCCTTAACTGGTTAATGTGTACAAATGGTTTGTGGGAAGTATGAAGTGTTTCATATTCTTAAAATTAACTGGTTCTTAGCAAGTTATGGTTTGTCAGTCTGCTTGTTTCTGTGATAGGTGAGGGTCAGATTATCTAAGTGCAATTCTATTAAAATATCATTAAAGAACCTCACTCTGTGTTCAACGAGATGTGTAAGCAGTAACATGAGAGTGATCTCTACTGTGAAAGCATCAGTAACATTAAATGGGGTAGCATCTTCAACCTCTGCTGACAATCAGCTTGGACTCTGCCCTGCAAGGTACTGAGGCCCTTATTCCCCACGGATGAGAGTGGCCTCGAAGGATGCTTAGTACTTAACAAGGTCGGAGATGTAGGTCCAGCAAGGAATGGCAGCTCCATATCTGCAACCCAGACTCACCATGGTAGGTGATGATGCAAGCTGTCTGTCCCATATTGCCAGGTCCCCTTGCTTACACGACACAGTCCTTCTCTTTTAGACTAACCTGTGATCCCAGACTGCTGTTGACTGTGTGTACTTATGAACTGAAGCAACAGAAAGAGTGACTGAAATGAAAGATGACAAAGTAATTCTCACCTGGAAAAGCGTCCGAAAGAAAATAGCTACTTGTAATGAAGATTGTCGGTTAATTAGAACTGAGTCACTTATTCAAAATGGCCATTGTAGGCCATACCTGTGTTCCTTCCTTCACATCAAAGAGTAAATGCCAGATAGTGTGATTATTTCTGACAATACGTGTATCTATAGAGACTTATTCTTTGGCCTGAGGGAGAAATTTTAGTCAGGTGTGAAAATCTTGCATGAAGCTTGAGTCACGAGGTAAGTGCACATGTGCCAAATGCTGTAGGATTGCTCGTGTTTCAGTTCCCTCCTGCATGTCACCATCACTCAGGGTTTTTCTTCTGTGCTGCTGGGCTCTTCCTTCACCTTGACAAGGGACAAAGACCTGCTGTACTCAGTCACAAAACTCTGGCTTTTTGTAAGTGGGTGAGAGTTTGCACTTCAGTGAGTTAAAGCGTTATGTCTGTCTTTTTTCCAAATCCTAGGGAAGAAGAATAAGTTGAGGGTATATTACTTATCATGGCTGAGAAATAAAATTTTGCGCAATGATCCGGAGGTGGAGAAGCGGCAAGGCTGGGTGTCTGTGGGTGACCTGGAAGGCTGCGTGCACTACAAAGTTGGTAAGGCTTTTTATTTTTTCCTTGAAGAGCTGCTTAATCATCCTGCTGCATCTTGTGACACCAGCATTTTTCTTCAGCTCTGTTTCAGAATTCTGTTGGGCTGAATATGTCTGAGTTCTTTCAAACCTCCTTGTTTTACATGGCAGATGCTTTGCTCCCTGTCATTCCAGGTAGCATCTCTTCTTGCAGTAGTTACCGGATGATGTTCTGGGTATTCTCCGTGACGGCTGGCAGAAGGGAGTTCCAGCCCTGGTCTGTCACTCAGTCAGTGGTTTAGAAGTTCTGTAGTTACTTAAGGCTTTAATTAGACTGATGTTTTTCACCTCCATGCTATTCAGCTTCCCTCCAGGCCCTGAGTAACTGCTAAGAAACCAGACTAGTAAAGTGCTAGTAAATCGTATTTGTAGGATGTGCATAGGTAGATGAGATTGGATGTGCTACAGCTCATCCCTGTCTCCAGGTCATAAAAGACCTAAATAGACCTTTGTTTGAACTTACACACTGGAAATGGTACCGTAGCAGTTGAAAAACCATCTTGCTTTTATTTGGCTTTCACGCAGTTCGTTCTTGAAGATGAGCATCAGTATTGTGGTAGTTTCTATCATTTAACTGCGTGAGGGGTATGATGTATAGCACAAGTTTTGCTTTGGTGAAAGATGGTACGTGGAAGTGGCACTTTTTTCAAAGTCAAGTAGAGAAATGATATAGAGGAGTGCAGGAGACGGCGGGGGGGCTGGCTCTCATAAATACTTTGCCTGACAGGTTTTTTTTGCCTTTATATCTCACAGCTTTAAAAGTGGCAAGGGTTAAATCCAAGAAAGTAACCAGATGTGCATTGTTACTTGCTTTGTGATTATAGCTAAGCACCTCGTATTACACTTCAGTTGCTCATTTTTGGGTTTGGTGTGAGTTTTTTTTAATCAAAAAAGAAAAATAGCTATCCTAAAATTAGGCAAACATTTGGTAGGATTTTCTGTGTTTTCATACGACAAGCTACTCTTACTTCTTTGACAAAACAGCTGCTGTCTTTTTGTCTTGGTGAATCTTCTTGTACCTTGACCTTTGGTTTTACAGCCATTTGTCCAGGTAGAAGAGGAAAAGGATGTGCTGTTCTGCGTTTTGGTGGAGTTTGATTTTTTTTTTTTTTTTTTTTTTTTAACCGTTTCTCTGCCTATGTGAGATTTTCCCGACTGGTGTCCGTCCTTACCCACTCTTCATGGCTCTGCTATCTGTTTGGCCGGTGTGAACTGTTCCTTTTGTAAGCAGCAAGGGCTGATCAAGCCACCCTCCCACAGAAAACAAACCTTACTTCAGTAGCGTAACACCTGCGTCTTTTAAAAATCCCTGCCAAGCAGACACTGAATATGAAACGAAGAGTGAACGCGCTGGGATGCGATACCCCAGCATTCTGTTTCCAAAGCATTTGCCTCTCTGGCAGAGTGAAAACACAATACACAAAGAAGCCTTAATTTTCAATGCATGATTATTTTCGATGGGTTCAACGTGACCTTAATCAACTTAGAGAAGTTGCTCATCTCTTAAATGCTTACTCATCTCAGAAACCTGGGAGTCCTTCGCCCACACTAGCACCAGCACATTTAACCCCACACATGAACAGTGAAATGCAAATTCACCCTGCAGAGTTTAACAGAATTGTTCAGCCAACAACCACCTTTCCTTCAAAAGCAGCTTATTCACAACCAGCAATGTTGGGGTGTGTTCACACCTGGAAAATATAGTAGGTTGGCTTAGCTGCAGGGTCAAGACCTTTTTTTCTGACTGGTAAGATTTTTATTTTTTTTCCATAGATATATAAAAAGCAATATATAAATGTTGTTAACAGTCATCTGGCTTTAGTGAGAATAAATGAACTATAGGTTTTCAGTCAAGGTATTGTCACTGGTGATATTAAACACTGATGTCCAGTCTCCCTTGCTGGATGTCTGCCTCTAGAAGTAGTTCATTGAAATTATTTCATGTGATGAGATGGTCTTTGATTTAAGTGTCTGTCTGGTACCTAAGGAATTGTTCTTCTTGTATTACAGTAAAATATGAGAGAATCAAATTCCTTGTAATTGCTTTGAAAAACTCAGTGGAGGTTTATGCTTGGGCTCCAAAGCCTTATCACAAATTCATGGCTTTTAAGGTAAGCGAAACTTCTCTTTGGTACAGATGTGTCACTGTCTCTCACTGTCTTTCATCTGCTCTTTGCTTTTGCTTTTTTGTTGCTTTGTATAACATTTATTTCTATTTAAAGATGAAATGAATATTCTTGTAAAGAAAATGTAGCTCATTTGACATACATTGGAGATGGCAGGCATAAAACTCTCGCAGTCATGATTCTGTTAGATGTGGATAACTTGTTTCAGTGCTGTGCCAAAACGTACATTTGAGTTCACACACTTGATGCTGCTTTCCCTCAAAAGAGGAGGACATAGAACACGAATGGTACTCAGACTAATTTTTGCCTAGTCCATTTCTAGAATCTGGATTTTTTTTCAAAACACAAGTGAATTATCCAGCTCTCCTTGCAGCTCAGTGGATGATGGATACTCGGCTCCTTAAACGTAACATACTATTTAACAAAAATAGCTGTCTAACTTTTGAGTTTTGAAAATTCTTAAGATCATGTATGTAGATCGCTAAACCAACAGCTTTCTTGTGTTATAAAGCATATTTTTCTTTTTCCAGTCCTTTACCTCGCTTCATCACAAACCACTGTCAGTCGACCTGACTGTTGAAAATGGACAAAGATTAAAAGTCATATATGGCTCCCTAGTAGGCTTTCACGCTATTGATGTGGACTCTGGATCTGTGTATGACCTGTACCTTCCAACACACGTAAGATACTCCAAAAAATTACGTAAATGCCTTTGTTCTTTTGGCTGTATATTGATGATGTTCAGGTTAAGAGTCGTGCTGTATTTCAAAAGACAGGGTAAGAGAATAATTATTGTGTGCCAAGTAATAGAAAACCACTTTTACATACTTTTGTAATGCTGAAGTTGTGTTAAAATGCTTTTATCACCTCTAGAATATCAATTTTAATGGTTTGATGTCAGAAAGCCATTGTTGGACAGTATTATTTTTAATAATAAATGTTGTATGGACAGTATTATTTTTAATTGCTTTATCCTGGAAATTTAGGCCTTCTTAAGCAATCAAAGACACAATAATATCTACAGGAATTTAGGTGACACTTACAATCTGCCACGTTTTCAGTCTTGCTAACAAGCTGATTAAATTATCGCTGAATTGAGCTGAAATTTGGCCTGGATTACAAAGACTGTTGCAACACGTTTTAATCTCGCTCCTCTGCAGGCATGTTACCCTTGCACCAACGAGTGCCTGTAGCTAGAGGAGCCAAGTCTGTGTGTGCACCCATGAGTAATCCCAATTTCTTCACCATGGAGCAAAGTTGCATTTGTTGCACATGATTACAGATCCAGGCTCTGTGTGCAAAATGTGATTTGCCTTTCAGTCATGACTTTGCAGAAACCCAACTTCCAGACTAAATAAACTTGCTGATCTTACCGTTCAGTTGCCTGTGAAATCAGTCCTTACATTCAAAAGAATTTTTACATTTTCCTCAGGATTTTCTCCTTAGATTGTCAAGAAGTTGGCATGAAGGTGTTGATTTCACGTTGATGTGTAAATACTGCATTGTGCATCTGTTCATTGACAGGATGGTGGTCATGATCACTAAATTCCTGCTTAAATTCAGATAACAGCAAAGTAATTCCCCTGCAGAAGTGAATGACTGGCATGGGGCTGTCCAATATGAAGTCTGTGCTGTGCTTTTAATCTTTTTTGTTGTTGTTTGCTTATTTTTTTAGCTGTTCTAGATAGTTCTTTTCAAAGCTGAGAGTCCCAAACCCAGAGAAACTTGGGAGCTTAGGTCCAGAAAACTAGCAGGTTTCCATGGCTCTAGCCTGATGGGAGGCTCCTGGCAAGGAAACTTCTGTGCACACTTGAAAACCTCGCTTAAATCAACAGAGCTCCATAGGGGCAGAGTTAGCTCATCCAGATGCCATGACCGCCTTGTATCCCAAGGCAATGTGTCCCAAAGTTACGCTCAGGTGGTCTGAAGAAATCTCATCCCAGATCTGCATGTTGCAGCCTTTGCCTTGAATTTTTTTTTCCCGACTTTTTTTTTTTTCTCCGCTCTCAACCTGCCCCCGTTTTCAAACCAAATGAAAACTCACGCCGCCCGTGCAAGCCACTTGATCGCTCTGCTGCCCTGACAAGTGACAGCCTTCGGGTTCTGTCAGGCTTGTGTTTCTCATGGACACAATGTTTGAGGATGGCTGCTAAGTTTATAAACTTCTCTTAATTCAAAAGTAACTTTTCTAGCTGCTCAAAACAAACTGTTGAATCACCTGCTAAAAGCTTGTGCTGTTTATTTTTGTGTTGTGTTTTGTTTTTTTTAAGGGACTTAATATTTGTTTTGTTAGAGGGTTTATTTGATCTGACAATTAGTAGCTTTGTTAACTATGCAACTATGAAAAATTCACATCAGTTTATAAATCTAAGCATGGTGCCTGCATACCATCCCTGGAAGCTGGTTGCTAAGCAAGGTGAATAATGACTTGTCAAAAAGAACATTAGCGTAATTGCCCAAGATAAGAAAGGCAAATTAAAAAGTGAACCTTCTTAGAGGCTTTAGTTTTTCAGCAGGCTGCAAATATAATTATGTACCTGATGAGAGAGATTTCCCAGGTGACTGTCCTGAATATGCGGGGCACCTTTAAGACTGACTCCGTTTGTGTGTGCTCTTCAACCAAAAGTCAGCATGTACTAAAAATATATTTTCCCTTCAGAGTCTTAGACCTGAAATAAATCTGCTCCTACAGTGGCTCTGTCTTTTCAGTATTTCATTATTTTAAAGAGCATCTGCTAGAGTTGGATAATTCTCTCAAGGAGCTTTGTGGTGGCAACAGACCAGACTTCACCAGGCTGACTTTAGATACTCTTGCTTTCTGGTAGCCTCTTTTCCTGGTTCCCCACCTCTTTCTTCATCTCTTACCTGCTTCGATCGCTCATGCGAGTACCAAGGCAACGCATTAAAATTGCTCTGCGACTCTGGATACCCGTTCTAGTGTTACGGATAGTTGTTGCGGAGGCACGGAGTCAAGTGGTTGGCCTGAGTGTGTTCAGTTTGGCAAGTACAGCTTCAGTGCTTCTTTTACTCTTCCTTGTGCCCTTATGGTGTGCATAAATGTATGTGCTTGAAGAAAAAAAGATCTGTGTGTTGCTGGCTTGTGAAAATGATGTAGAAACTGCCTGCAGTCGTATGCTTTCTGTAAAAATAATAATTGTAGTCGTTTAATTTACTATTTAACATCCACTTTTGAGTAGTGCTTCAAACAAGGAAATGCTTTGTTATTGCTTTTTAATGCTGTCCTCTTTTTCTTTCGAAAAAGCTTTCATAAATCCCCACCTTCATGGTTGTATACTTGGACTTTTTTTTTTTTCCACTTGGGACACGTTGGCTTCTGGGAGAGATTCTAGTGCATTGAACAGCTGTTAAAATAATTTGTGTGAGTGAAATGCACTGTTCCTGTGGCATGCAGAAAATGTATGCTGAACAGCATTTAAATGGGGAACTATTTTTAGTGGAGGATGTGGGAAGGGAAGGACAGAGAGTGGCTTGTATTTGAAAGGTCCAGGTAACTTTTCAACTTGCTGTAAATATTGCTAAATTTACAGGTTTTAGCTTGTGAGTGGGGGTAGTGAAATATCATGGAAAGTGAAAGCGCTGATTTCCTGGAATGTGGCAGCTTTTGTCCTTCCTCCATCTTCTGAAATAATTGTGAATTCAAAATTATCTCACCTTTCTTCTCTTTATATAATGCAAGTGTTTTGTGAGTGAGTAAGTAAATATTATTGTGTCTCAGTGGCTCCATGGCTTCTTGAAGCCAGTTAATACGGGTGAAATCAAGTGAAATATTGAAGGTTGATTTCTTTGCAAACCTACTGTCGTATTCGAAGGGGGGAGGAGGGGAGGCAGCCTGTTTCAGAGGCTAGCTAGCAAACTACCCAGCCTTTCTGAAAACAGGCGCTTCTTTCACTTTCCATGAGCTGGTTCTTTTTATTGCCCTCCCAAGCTAGACAGATTGATGTAGTCACCAGGATAGCAGTCCATTTTCTGATATAAATCTTGGTAAAATATGATTCTAGATCCAGGGGGCTATTCGCCCACATGCCATTATCATCCTCCCGAATACCAGTGGAATGGAGCTTTTACTCACCTATGAAGACGAAGGCATCTACATTGATATATATGGGCATTTCACAAAGGAGACTGTTTTACAGTGGGGAGAAATGCCAGCATCTGTAGGTACGTATGAAAAATAGCCCTTTATTAAACAGAAGATCCAGCTGCATGAAGCCTGACTTCTTTATGAGGTTTGTATCCATACGAAAGTGGTTGTGCGGCACATAAAGCAGCTCCTGAGCAAACCAGACGTGTAAAGAGTAAACAGATTTATGTATGTCTGTGGTAGGACAGCTGATGATTGCAAGAGAGTCTTCGCATTTGGGTCACAGAGTTTGTATTCTTGTCACACTGTTTATTGCATCATAACTTGACTGTACAGCCAAACTTCCCTGAGGATGCAGCTTACCACCAGTTTTCACAGAGAGAATTACGGGAATCGCAGAGGTAGAAAAGGTACTCCTGTTGCCTACTTTGATTGTTCATAGCCCATAGAGTTTCATGTAAAAATTCACAATTATAGGGAGGTCAGTTGCTGAAGAGGTCTGTAACTGCTGTCAAACGGCCCCTTAATTTTATCACTTTATTTCACAGTGCTGCCAGCCCCGGGTATTTCTAACAGATTCTCAATCTCTCCACGCTTGCAGTTGGCTTTGTAGGAGGAGATTCTGATTGTATTGTCACCAGGACAGCTGTTTGTTTGACCTTCTCCAGCGGGCTTCAACTTAACAGTGTGGCAAAAACCAAGAACAACACAGGCAGACTCTTGTTTTTATTATTTGTTGCTTTTAATTTCTGTTCTGGCTCACTCCTGTTCTTCTGCATCTTAAAACAAACACACCAACAAACAAAAAAAGCCCAAGACACTTAGACTGTACAAAAGCATATTATTAGCTTGGCAGAAACTGGATGCCACAGTGAAAAATAGAGGATGTTCACCTTTCTCCTTTCATTTCTAGCTGAGTACTTTTAGGAAAAGTCCATTTAAAATCAGTAGAATAACACCCGTGAGTAAATGCCAGGTTTGACATTTGTAGAGGGTTTTCAACAGTGCGAGGGCAAGCAGCCCACCTCTAGAACACAAATTGCTATAAGACAACTTTTTTTTTTCCCACCGTTTCAACAAAATTCAGCAACAAAACTGCTTCAGTTTGAAAAAACAGGTGTAAGGTTCTAAGTTAACTCTGTAGTGTTTCCTTCCCTTCACTGAATAGCCTTATCTCCATTTTTCAGCCCATATTCAGAGCTACAAGGCATAATCAAAATGTAGCAAGTCAATTCTCCCTTTTTTCATAGGAATATCTCATGGTCTTTGATATGTTGAAATTTTACATCCCCTCTGAATTAATGTTGGAAACACCATAAGAAATAATCAATAATCAAAGAGCAATTACTCAGCCAGGGTAAGAAGAGTTCTAATGAGAAATATTGAACGGAATTGGAAGCTGCACTGATGAATGCTATCTCAAAGAGACAGAAGCTTTCCAGAAGCGTGTTGTTATGGGACGTGCTTCCTTCAGCAAGCTTAACGTGAACATTTTCTTCAAACTGTAATGTCTTATCCACTTTATGGTGTGCATATAAGATTTTCATAAAATATTCAAACTCTCTGTTTTCCCACATGTACTTCATTGGTTAGAACTCCTTTTTCCTGCCTTGCGAAGAAACAATTTTAAATTCGACTGCATTTATATAAGTGTCCTGCCAGAGATTAACCCTAATCTCTTGTTTAATACCTTTTAAACCGTGGATGTTATTTGTAACTATTACAGGCTTTTCTAGTGGTATTATTCTTACTCTATGCTATGTCCTAAAGAGTCATGGTTACTAGTGTGTTTCAAAGACGGATGATACCTGAGGAACAAAGGGCTTTCTTCCTTCCTGCTTTAGTAAGGGAGATATTGCAAGAAGGGTCGCATAGATCTGTGACTCCTGCTTGGAAATTTGCAGTTTGTGTCACTGGGGACTGATTGCTCTCAAAGCTTTTTCACTTAATCTAGATACTTTGCAGGAATGTCTGTGATTTGGACCAGAGGGAGCTTAAGTCCTTCTTCCTAATGTTGCTGAAAGTACTGAATCATCAAACCCACAGATAGGAGAGAAAGGATTGTAAAGCATTCTTGTAGCCTGGAAATCACGCTGCCTTAACTTCAGTACAAATTTCCTTACGCATACCCAGCTGGCATTGAAGTGAGTAAAGCTTCACCACTTTGGACCAGCTGAATGTGATCTTTTGTGCCAGTTAATTACTCTAATTTAAAATATCCTTCAGTATACATCTGGTTAGGCATAATATTCTCAATTACTCAAGGTTGATTACATCTTAATAGAAGGAATGCCAGTTGGACATTTGCCTTTCATGTAGCTTTTTCTCCTGTTCTTCAGCACACCAGTATGATAATCGTTTGCATGGAAGGCTATCAGTACAAAATTGCCTAAGAATTTTTGTTATAGTATTTCAGGGCAGTTAAATAGGAAGAGGATGGAGAAGATGCTTCTGAGGGTGGCATCCAGTCTGGTGAATTTTACTGCATAGAAGTTAGGAGTCTTGTCCATGTAAGTAGTTTAGATTTTCCCCTGTAGTCAGTCTAGAGAAGTAGGCACCACTGGATGGGAATGTGGTGCCCGTCCAGGGACAGGTGGCTAGCACAGGTATATTAAAAGCTCCTGCTGAGGAGGCAGAGGGTGAGTTAGACTGAAGGTTTTGGATGGTGAGGTTAGGAGAGCTGAGTAAACAGCCCTTCGCAGAACTTCTCTGAGCGCTCAGAAAGCGGGACTGTGGGTTTTCTCTGGAAGGAAAGGTGTCTGTCTCGGTCCGCCTGTCTCTTCCATTGTTTATACTTCTGCAGATTCCACTGCTGAAGGGAGGCAGTTTCCAAACAGCCCCTCTCAGTTGAATATTTCCACTATGTTAGCTTGAGCACCCTTGCATTTCTGCTGCAGCACTTCTGGCATCTCAGAAATGGATTTCTTTGGAACAGAAATTGTCAAACTTTGTGATGTGGTACGAGCTTAATTTGACTTCTGATTGGAATCACACTTCCACTAAAAAAAAACCAAAACTCAACTTATAATTCAACACACAACTCAAACTTTAAACAAAGAGCTCTGTTAACTATTATTTTAATAATTGTTTCCCACTAGTTCCTATTAATTTTCTTGATCCTTCCAAATTCTTGGCTCTAGACAAAAACATTAACTATTATGAGAGAAGTGTGAATAACTGAGTTATTTGCATGGCCAAACTTAGGGGGAACTTGAAAGTTTCATAAGAAATCCCATTTTCTGGGAATTTCCAGACCTGTTTCAGACCTCCTAAAGTCCCTATGAACTTATCTCAAAATTTTCACTTTATTTCAGGTGTAGAAGTGTTAACGCTTCTGTGTTAACTTCAGGGTGCTCTCTAGCCATCCTTTGCTCATTTCTTGATTTCTTTAAACGACTATTTTGAAAGAAAACTTTTGTAGTTGGTGAGAATATCTTGACTACAAAAAATAAAAAAGATTTTTTTATTATAATTGATGGATTTAGGGCAGGGAATCTAAATATAGCTTACTCTCATAGTCTTTAAGTTGGGACCTCTGTGACCGATCTGTTAATAGGAAATTGGAGAGAGGAAACTCAAATCCCATGGGAAATTAAAATTGTATAAGTACTCTATCTATGTTTAATCTAAAAGATATTTCACATATGTAGGGCTAAATACAAATATAGCTGTAATATTTTCTTTCTATAAAACAGGATTAAAAAAGGGTTTAAGAGACATCAAGTTAATAAGATTTGGGAGCACTTTTGCCCTTTTGTGTGAGTAATGAATTATTTACAGTATGTAGTTTTAGAGGGTTGGCACAAAACTGGATATTCCCGGAGTGAGGAACCAATAAAAGTCCTTATTTCCTTTGCCATGTACGTATTAGAAGCAAAAAGGATGTTATGTAGAGAAACAGACAGCATTACCAAAAGCTGTTGAAATACTGCCTCTATCGACATACTCACCAGTTTCTGAACAGTTGCCATCCAGCTCATGCACAGAAAATGCCTGCTTGTATTGGCAGATCTCCTGTGTGCTTTTCCCCCAGGAGACAGCAAAAAGCATTCAAACAAGCAAACTGTCACCCCAGATACATTTCTGAGTTGGATTGTTGGTTCTACTGGAATAACTACAGAGGAGTGGGCAACAACTGGGAGCAGAGAAGCTTTGGAAAAGAGATGCTTAGAAACATACATGTTTAGAAAAAAAAATTTTAGTCTTAAATTTATTCCTAGCTTGCTTGGGGTGGTTAGGGAACTGTAAGTGTTAATCCTTTGTCCAGTGCAATCTAACCAAAACATACAGCAGAAAAACACCTGCCTCGCATGGCCAATTTCTTAATTTGTCCATTTGTGCCTTTATTCAGCCTTAGGTTTTTTTCTTTCTTGATTTTTAATTCTCTAGCTTCTCTCATTTAGTAAAAGTTCTCCACAGCGGTGGCTGGAGGAAGAAAAATACCCACTTCTATCCAGGTAACATAAATAATAGCAGCAAAACTATTTCACAGAATTGCACAGGAGAAGTAACCAAGTCCTCCCTCAGTTTTCCTACCCAAAATTGCTTTAACTTTGGGGGCAGTAAGGTTTAAAGCATGGGCCACAGCCAGAAGTACATGCAAGTAGCTAATCAGTCCCTAACCAGTGATCATCAGCAGCATTGGAGAGTTCGAGGCTGGGTTTCAGTGGCAACGAGTTTTGCTGCATCACAGGACACTGTTGGTATCTCTATATTCCATTCCCATTCCTCAACATGTCTCCCTTCCATTTGTCTAAAAAGAAACAAACCAACATGCTTTCCCCAGAGAGTGAGGAACCAATAAAACTCATGATTTCATAGAGCATACTGGGTTTGACTGAAGGGCCAAAGAAGGGTTCTGTAGGAGTGTACTCCATTTTAAGATCTGTATGGTCTCTAATAGCTGGTATCTTTTAGGGTCAGCAAAGTCATCACTAGATATTCTCCTTTTAATGTTCGTGCTCATCTGCATACTTGCCTGAAGCAATTTTCTCAAACGTGTATACAACAGCAAAATTCCGTAGCTTTTTTGCATTGAATTTTACCTGTGCACATACTGATTGTCTCCAAAAAGGAATTCAGTAAGGCAGCGTATGCTCTCTTAGCCTGTGAAATGGAGTTTTATATCATGACTCAGGCATGCGATAGTGGGTCAGACTCTTAATCCATGTTCAGTTTGTTCATTTCCAACTTCTTGCTTTATCTGGAATCAGTTGCCCGGGGCATTTTTGGAGTCTCCATCACTAGAGGTCTTTAAGGTCAGGTTAGACAAACAACTGTCAGAAGTGATACCGATGCGGCACAGAGATATGGATGGAAGAGAAAGTAACACTGTAACACTAACCAGAAAAGCCCAATTTTATGATATTTTGCCAAGGGTTGGCCTGATTCTGCTCTCACGCAGAAGTCAACTGGGAATAACTGCTTAGGGCAGTGAGCCAGATTTGGTACGTGAGATCAGAAGAGGGATCCTTGAAGGGAAAGAGTTTAAAAAAAGAAAAGAAAGGTTAAGGGAAATGAGATGCTACCAGTATCTGGGTTCTGTGGTACAAAATGAGCTTGTCTCATTCAGACTGAGTACGATACTGGCGTGAGACTGAGATCATCAGCTCACATCAGTGACACTTCATAGAAGTTAATGGCTCCAATATGGCTCAGTAATTTCTTTCACCTTTCCTATCTCCCTCAACCGTTTTCCCTTGAAGCAGTCACTTCCCTGAACGGGGGCTCTACTCGATGTTACTACACAGTGTAAACAGGAAATACCAAGTCTAGTCCCAAGTTTAGAGCGTTGCTAATGCTTTCACGATGTTAAGAAACTGATTTTGAGCTCACTTTGCTATACTGACTTTATGGCATGTATTCTTTGATGTCCAGTGAGTAATGCTGGTGTAAATGGTGTAACAAGAACCACAGCTCATGCACAGCTGTAGGCCTTTTAAGATGAGCAGTAATCTAGGTGAAGCGTGGGAGCTTCAGGGAACTCTGAATGACTTTGTTCCTGTATGTTGGGGAAATGAGTCTTCCTTGCAGCCTGCAGCAGTAGTGCCCTGTCGTACAGCCTACAAACTGAAGGATAAAGAAAAGATACAAACATTTCTTGATTTCAGGTGTTTGATGTTTAGAAAATACCCCTCTTCCCCCTTCTCTTCTCCCACTTATCCTCAGTTGCGCACTGCTGTTTCACTTTTCAAACAGGATGGTTTCTTCCTCTTTCCCCATGACTGGAATACTGGGAAAGAACTTTCTTGCTCTCAGCTCTAGTGGAAGGGAAGCTTTCGGGGTGTGTGCAGAAAGAATAACTGAAAGGATACTAAACAGATTTAGGGAAAATCTGTCAACTTTGAGGGAACTAAAATCACAACAGTGTAGCCAAACCACACGTTTCCAAGGAAGTATAATTTTCCTACACTTGTTTTGACAAGAATTATAAAGCAAGGATTCCAAGTTAACGTGAAATCAACAATTGGTAGAAGAAGGATATACAGTCACTCAGGCATGCTGTCCTTCTAAAGTAGGATCAGGGGCTGTTGCTTCCTGTATCAGTGTGTCCTGGAAGTTTAATTTTTAGACAAAAATCTAAATAAACATGGAAGGTTTTAAGGAACACACATTGCTTGCACTAACAATGTAGGGCAGGCAAGCACTGTCCACTGAAGCTGAAAACCAGTCAAATGCACAAATTCCCTCTACATCATATCAGAGCACCACAATTCTTGGACTGATGAAATAAGAGTTCATAGTTCAGCAAGAAGAACAATTTCTGAGCATTGACTATCAATAGAGCGTAACTAATGTGTTTTTACCTTGGAAGCCCATACATGCACTAAACTAATCGGAGGGCTTTCATTGAAACTGTGCCTAATTTGGAATCCGCAGTGTTAACTCCTTCATCACTATTCCAATTTCTCATCTAATTGCCAGATTTAAGGTGCTGGAGTATGTTTCTTTGGTTTTGGAGGTACTGCAAGTAACCTGTGATGTGAAGATAATAGCAAAGGACACCAAATTAATGATGCCATAGTCTCAGATTCAAAAGTGTTTAGGTTTCAGACTAAGCTGAACTCCATAGTAAATACAAACTCAACTTCCTAATGGGAGGGTATAGAGAAGACAGAATCAAGAATTTTCTTGGACATGTACAGTGAAAGGATGAGAGGCAAAATGGGCACAAGTTACACCAAGATAAATTCCGATTAGTTATTAGGAAGAAAATTTTAACCTTGCAAGTAGTGATGCATTGCAGCAGGAGCTCAGAGAGGTTGTGAAGTATCTATCAAAACATGTCTGGACAGGGGGCCGAGTAACCTTGTCTAATTTGGCCCTACTTTGGGGGCAAGGGTTAAACAAGATGCCCTTCAGAGGTTTCCTACAACCTTTTGTGATTCTAAAATACGCAACAGTAGCACACTTAAGATTTATGTCTAGAGTCCAAAACAAGTCTGAGAGGACAAACTGAAATTTAGTTACTTTGCCCAAGGCCTTTGGTGTAACCTTAAAATACAAATAATTCAGAATATATTATCAAAGAGAAATACTTAAGATTCATAGTGACATAAATGAGGCAAGAATCTGTTTTTCAGCTGTTAAATAGAATCAATTTATTTCTTTTTCTTTCTTTTCTTTCAGCTTACCTTCAATCCAATCAGGTCATGGGCTGGGGAGAGAAGGCAATTGAACTACGCTCTGTGGAAACAGGAAATCTGGAAGGAGTATTTATGCACAAGAAAGCACAGAAGCTAAAATTTCTATGTGAAAGAAACGACAAGGTACAGAGATGACTACCATGTGGTGATTTAGCAAAAATGAGTACTAGTTGACTATGACACCAAGACCATTTAAATTTTGTAACTTTGTCTTTACATTGGTTATTTCTTACCTTATTCCCTATTCACAGTATACATAATTGCTGACCCCACAAAGCAATTACTGTAGTGATATTCTGCACTTTCACACCACCCTACTTTAGCTAGCTCTGTCATAACTCCCATTCCACCCAGCCTTAACTGATACCAGAGGTGATAACAAACAGAGACATTGCTAGCTGGCCAGACTCTGGCACAACAGGTGTAGTGGGGAGGGCTAGTGAGCCAGCCCTGATAATGCCCAACTATAGGACGGCCTCTCCTGGGCTACTGAAATTACAGGCAATTCAGAGCAGCCACCAGGGAAAAAAAAAACACAATGGTCTAGTATTTGAGATACTGCAGGCACTACAGTATGCATAACAAGTATGATTTCTTGAATATAGCAGTTCTTGATAAATGTTCTGTGAAACCTACTTAGTCCCACTGCCATATTTGGAAAACTGTGGGCCAAAACTCTAATTATTTTTAAATGTTCTCTTGTGTCTTTCCAAATAGGAAAATAAATACACACCAAAAAAATCTCCTTTGTGTCACAAGTATGGCTTCACTTTAAAAAGCTTCTCATAGGATTAAAATTGAATTGTGAGAGATATATATCCTTGTATTTGGGACTGTGCCATTCTTTCAGATTTCCTGTATGGGTAAAAATATTCTCATAAATGTAAACTGACAGTAGCATATCTTTCTTTTTTTTCTTTCCCCTTTCAAGGTGTTCTTTGCATCCGTACAGTCAGGAGGCAGCAGTCAAATATACTTTATGACTCTTGGTCAAAATGTACTATTCAACTGGTAAATCACATCAAAATGAAGGATGCTTTGAAATTCCCTGTAGGTAGCGGTGTAAAATGCTTGGAGGTAATATACACACATTTGCATTTTTTACCTACAAAAATGTTGTCGTTATTAACTTATCAAAATTCCTACTCTTTCAGTTTGGAAAGAATTTCATTTTCCTGTCAAAGTATTTCAAACACGTTTAGTTTGTCTTCTAAAATACTTTGCAAACCAAGATTGTATTCACAACGTTAGGAGAGAATAACTTCAGTGAAGAATGTAGCCAATATTAAGAAGCTCCTGTATTCTACAGTTTCATTTTCACAGATGATGTAATGTTGTTATCTTGAACTGAAGTCTCTTTCTTTTTTGGACAGCAACATCTGCAAGTAGATACAAAACCACAAATAAGCTGGGTGACAAATTGGAATCTATTTTATTTTGAACTGAGTTTTGGATTGGTTTGCGTTTTAAGCAAGATGTTAACAGTTTCACCAAGATTCACTTGGCCAAGTCTGACAATCAGTGAAAGAGCAACTGTTCATTATGGGGCCTAAGGCAGATTGGGATGCTCGAGGGATCGTATCCTGCGCTAGGTAGAACAGGTGCATTTCACTGCAGAGTTGTAAAAGCAGCTACTTCTAGACATGTACCCCATCTGGTAGGTTTTACAAAATGCAGGGGCCAGACTTCATGTTTCTCTCAGGGCTGGATGCCTGAGCCTGTAGACACAGTTACTGTAGAATGTATTTGTAAAAATAGTTTAAATAGTACTTTGTCAAAGTCATATATGCATAAAGCATTATGGACCTGAACCCAAAACTTCTGTTCAAATGCGAGACCTACGCTCATCCGAGTTGATTTAAAGGCACTACCCATGTATATGAGGGCACAGGGTCAAACACCTTCTTTTCTTCCCTTCTTGCTCTTTCAGCATCAGGCCTTCATGTATTTGTGTGTAAATATAATCTTTCCACAACGGATGTTAAGAATAACAAATGTATTCTTAATATAGTTATGAAAATATCCAAAGAGTTAATCTATTATAAATAGAAAATATAATAGTTTCAGGTGCTTTCCATGCTAATTGCACCTAAATAAAGCTGCATCCACTAGTGTTATTGGTGCCAGTGTTTCTGCATAAACTCTGTTCTCAGGGGCTTGTATTATGGCCATGAAAGTATACAGATAAAATATATATACTATATATAATCAGATACTATGAGTAAACTGTAGAGTTTAATGCAATCCTCATTTAGCTGATTTTTGGATATGCTTTGAAAATGTAAAGCATCAAATGTAATATAAAAGAGCTCATTCCAGACATGATACAGTATGGATGACACTGTAGGCAACAGTGAAATCACTAGCTACAGTGTTTGAAAATAGGTGTTTTTTACTTGAAATATGTGATACTGAAAGGTGCAGGGAAAGTGTGTTGGAATATCTGGTCGTCTACCTCAAGAATGATGATTCGAAGTTGACTGTGAAGGGGAGCAATAACAGTGTGTGTCAGGTTAAGTTAGTGTTAGCAGTCATGCTGTGACTGACAGGTGCTCAGACTGCAACCATCACCTCCAGAACTGGTATCCTTGTATATGTCAGCAGAGAATCAAACTAGGGGCTCATCACCTTTCCCCCCTTCCCCGTGTTGGCACCTCAACTGCTGCGGGCAGATCAGAGATGCCTACGCTGTTGCTGTCTGTGTTCTTTGGCTATGTGGAGGACTGCACTTTCCAAAATTATTAACCTAGCACTTTTCACAAGCACTAGCTTATCTCAAATTGTATAGTGTTTTTTATGAAGTATTTTCCTTTTAATTGTTTTAATTTACAAAAAAGTAAGCCTGAGGCCATACTAAAAAATACGTGCAGTTAAATACTTACAGTGGTTCTTAATGTATGTGAGTAATCAGCTTGTGTGCTGACTTAAACCTGAATGGTACACTGTGTGTGGGCAGAGCTGCGTGAAAACAAGAGGTCTCTGTGTATTTCTAGTAATGTTCCTCCTACCTGTTGCCAACTCTAGGGCTGGAGCAAATGAGCAAAATGTGCCTTGGCTCCCTGTGCTACTGAACGCTGGGCTTGTTTTGTTCAACTTTCACAAAAAAAAAAAACAACACAAAACTAAACAAATCCAAACCTGTAACAGAGAGAGAGGTGAAAGTTACAGGCAAAAAATACTTTGCAGACAATCAGAAATACAACTTAGTTGCTTTTGACTTAAAAAGTCTATGAGACCATGAAGAAAGAACAGCTTTCATTTGTACCCAGCAGGTGTGCAAAACTTGCTTGCAAAACTACTTGTGCTATAAGCAATCAATGATCCAGGCGGCCCTGTAATATTTTTTTGAAGTGTGCTGATCACAGCAGCCTCTGCATTACATGGGATGCGTGTGAATTTTTTTGCTCTCCCATTTTGGTGTCAACAGGTAGGAGGCAGATTCTTCCTGATGCTGGGCACTAGTTAAAAAGAACTAAGCAGAAAACCGTGGGAATTTAGAACAATCCATATTAGCAGATTAAAGAAGCAAACGCGATCAAACTTGTTGAATATTATTGTAACAGAAATGTGTGACAGGAAGCTGACACACTGTAAAGATGTTTTAGCTCTATACCAAGAGAGGAAAAAAACAACTAAGTTCAACAGAGGGAATGTGCACAATTACATTGAGATTTTATTTTTTCATTGTGTTTCCTTCTATTAGCTCTGTTTTCTTTCCAGCTATGATTTAAGGCAGTGGGTTGGATTTTTCATCTGTCACTTTGCATGTAAAACCATTGGAATTATTTGGTTTACATCCTATGTGTGAATATGGAAAGAATGAGGCCCTTGGAGGTGAATGCTTTTAAAGGATTCAGAAGTGGTACTGCAAATAGCAACTGGATGCAACAAGGAGACGGTGGCATTTTCTCTTTATTAAGAGAAAAATCAGAATGGTTAAAGATGAGAAAGAGACCAGAGATGTCAAGAAGAGTAACAGAAGAGAGTGGAAGTGACTGAAGAGGAGGGAAAAGCTGGCGAAAATCAATAGGAGTAGCCAAAGGGGAGAGAGTGGATGTCTGGAACAGTGTATTGATGTAGGAGGAATTTAAAAAGGGTGAGGGATGTTAAGGAAAAGAAAGTAACCGAAGAAATGGAAAGGTATCTGGAGTGACCTGATGGTCTGAATGCTGAATGAGGGAGTGTTCTGAGTCACTGTTCAGCTCAAAGAAAAAGTTCAAAGGCTTCAAAAAAAATTCCAGAGACCCAAGTTTATCCTGACATAAATTTAACTATGCAAAATGTGTTATCAGATTTGTAGTTTCACTTTGTGAGGTGTTTTTCTAGCTGCACCCCTTCACTACCTTTTAAAACCAAGGAGCAAACTATTTAAAGTGTTTTTTCTAGTGATGTCACGTTGATGTGAGCAAATGCTACAGAGGCAGAACGTTAAGGATCCGTGTCAGTAATCTTTCGGTGCATGCAGTATCCTAATGGCAGGTCGTGCTCCTAATCTTGTATTTGCCAAACAAGATGGCACTAATACTGCAGCAAGATAGTACTGTATGTTCCTGCTTTCATTTTAGGAATGGTGAACTCTATTCTGCAGCCTGAACCTTGACACAGGACTTTAAAACCTGGGAACAACGCAAGCTGTGTACTGTACATTACGTATTATTCCCTAATGTTGAAACTGTACAACTGAAACAGTAATAAAAAATACTCTGAAAATCAAAACTAGTGTTGTGCTTGTAAAATTCTGTTATATTGGCATAAGCTATTGTAAAAATCATAGAAAGCTTTGTTATTGTTTTCAAATGCAGTCAGTATCCCTAAGGAAACACCTACATCTGCCTGTAGAGACAAACTGAATATATTTCCTTGCAGTGGATAAAGACGTTGGGGTCACGGTGTGAGAAGTCAGCCTAGGAACAGTGCGGGTGGGGGTGACAGCTGCCACTGTGCCGTGTGTGCTGCTGACGAGCTTCACAAGTGGATTTCTGTGCTTCGGCCTTTCTCGTTACACAAATAGTGGGATGAGGGCAGTGGAACCACAGTGAAATGACAGCTTGCAGTCGTTTACGCTACCAGAACTGGATTTATGGGGGTCCTGGTGGACAGCAGGATGACCATGAGCCAGCAATGTGCCCTTGTGGCCAAGAAGGCCAATGGCATCCTGGGGTGTATTAGAAGGGGTGTGCTTAGTAGGTCGAGAGAGGTTCTCCTCCCCCTCTGCTCTGCCCTGGTGAGGCTGCATCTGGAATATTGTGTCCAGTTCTGGGCCCTTCAGTTCAAGAAGGACAAGGAACTGCTTGAGAGAGTCCAGCGCAGGGCCACAAAGATGATGGAGTGGAGCATCTCCCTTATGAGGAAAGGCTGAGGGAGCTGAGTCTCTTTAGCTTGGAGAAGAAGAGACTGAGGGGGAACCTCACAAATGTTTATAAATATGTAAAGGGTGACTGCCATGAGGATGGAGCCAGGCTCTTTTCAGTGGCATCCTGAAAGGATAGGACAAGGGGAAATGGATATAAGCTGGAACAAAGGAGGTTCCGCTTAAACATAAGGAAGAACTTCTTCCCAGTAAGGGTAACAGAACACTGGAACAGGCTGCCCAGAGAGGTTGTGGAGTCTCCTTCTCTGGAGATGTTCCAAACCCACCTGGACACGTTCTTGTGTGATCTGATCTAGGTGGTCCTGCCCCGGCAGGGGGATATTGGACTAGATGATCCTTTGAGGTCCCTTCCAATCCCTAACATTCTGTGATTCTGTATCATCATGAATGCCAGGATAGCCCAAGGCACTTTTTCCCAGGCATGCTCATGCGGTCTTTGTTGCCCCACGTAAAATTTATTGCTGTACATAATGTGAGGTGTGATAGCACATAGTTGGTGTACCGCTTAGGAGTAAGAACTGGGAATTCTGCCATTTGTGCCAGTGTTGGGAGATGGAAACAGTGAGGGCATAAGGCAAGAATTCTCTTAATATTTTAAAATGAAGAGTATCTTTCATGAGTGTTTTATCTCCTTTAAGCTAGCAGAGCATGTTGTCTCCAGCATTTGATGTATGGATTGGGATCTGTATTATAAGTTTGAAGGCATCATGGTTGCTTGATTGGGTAGATAGCTTAGTTTTGCCACTCATTATTGTTCTTTTCACCAAAAGTTATTTCTAAGCTTTAGTAGTACAGCGCACCTGGAGTACTCCACACCAGTTACTTCAAATCAGTTTCACTCCCCAGCACAAGAGAAAATATATCAGGCTTGAGTTCCAGTACAGTTCTCTGTTGGACAGGAGATTTTTCTCTCCTTTTTATTTGCTTACCTCCTTTAAAATCGGGAATAATTGTGGCAAGTAGAGAAGAGCAAGAATTCTGGCTTCCTGCCTCACCTGTGATTCAGTGCTGCATCGATGTCTCTGCTATAAAAAAAAAAAAGTGATTCATATATGCATTATTAATGGATTGGGACATGTCTTTAAAGTTGTGGGAAAAAATTACCAAGAGATGAAAGTATTGTTTTCTAAGAAGCAGCATGAAAAATCTTGTACCCAGCCCCATTGTCATGGTTTGATGTGGAGGGGGG